TAGTAATTTACTTTGTAGCACATGTAAGCTTTTCCTTAATAAAATGATGGGCAAGATCGCCAAAAAAAAAAAAAAAAAAAAAATAAATTTTTTTTATAAAATAATAGCCCAGAAGTATAATTTCAAATTACGGCCTGAATTAAGCTTAATTCAGGTTGTAATTTGAAATTATATCCCTGGCTATTATTTTATAAAAATATAGTAATTCAAAAATCATTTAAACTAATTTAATAGTAATTTAATATTATAATTATTAGGTAATTTAGGCTACCAATACTTTTCAGAAATTGTTTTTAACTTTGAGTTTTTACTTAAGCAACATAAATTGTATGATACATATTATTCTAAACTACTTGAACGAAAGTTTAAATCAAAGGCATCAGGCTCTACTAGAATTAATATAACAAACTCTATTCATCCAAATAAAGCTAGTCATTTGGTTGCATATTTTACTAAAAATGAAAATCCTGAACAATGATTTGTCAAACAAAGAGAAAAACAGTGGAAGGAAAGTCATAAAAATATGTTATTGATACTTGCACAATTAAATTTAGAAGCAACTGAAAAGTCTAAAAAAAAAAAAAAATTCAAACAAAAGGAACGTTAAATCAAAATTAATTTGAAGTAAGTTTTTTATTTTTTATTTGAATTATGTTAAATATCGCAGGTTGCTATATTGCAAGTCAATATAGTTGACCAATTAAATCACAGGATTTTGTGTAGCAAAAATGAACAAAATTTTAATGCATATATGGGTGTTGGTAAATGAAAACCTGCAAATCGTTTTTTTGAATATTTACTTTTAAAAAAATATCATGAAAACCAACTAATTAAATACTTAAGTTTTTAATATTATTCAAATCATCACATTAAGCTGATTCAAATAATATTAAATTTCAAGTATTCAATTAGGCCATACAAATTTAATTACTTGGTTTTCATAACATGAAATTTTAAATCAGACCCAGCCAGCTGACTTTTTTTTTTAAATTTTATATGTAAAAATTTTATAAAATACTATAAAATTTTTTTACAAAAACTCACCCGGTTATTAAACCATATAAAAAAATTTTTTTGAAAGTTTTCAAACTTTGACTCAGCTGGGTTATGAAAACCAATTTATTAATTTTATATGGCCTTAGTTGGTTTTCATGATATTTTTTTTAAAAGTAAATATTCAAAAAACATGATTTAAAAAAATTGCAAAAACTCTTTCCTGTTTCCCTCAGTTTGAGGGCACCCAAAATTCAATATAACTAAAAAACTTTATACAAAACTAACTTCTGCCTCTCCAAAGGCTATAGTTCCTAAATTTAGAAAAAGAAAGCTCCCAACAAGCTTTATGGGTCACAACAAAAACAAGCGAACAAAAGTTCTTGACAAAAAAAAAATTTTCGATCTTTCTTCTGTCTCTAAAGAAAAGAAAGAAGAAAATGTCAAAACTCTCTCTGAAGCTTCTTCTTCATCTCAAAACTCTTCTCTAGATACTAGCACTAAAAACAACTGGGTAAACAAGGTTGAAAAAGAAATTTACAAGCCTAGTGAAAACAACAACTCCTACTCTTCTCAAAAAGAAAATGAGGAAAAACCAAATATTGCTTCTAACAAAACAACAAACAAATATGTAACTTCAGATGTAAACAAAGAACATGTGAAAAATTCAAACAGCCAATCAACTAAAAACTCCTCTGCAAGTTATACCAATGCAGATCCAACAACTACATCAGGAAGAACTGATAGTACTAATAATAATCTGAGTAAACCTAGGCAATAGTCTGATCTTTTTACAAAACTACGAGGTAGCAAAGCCACTTTTAAGCAAGAAACTCCCAAAAATAAGATCTTATCCAAAAACAATAATACTCTTATCTTTGATATCTCAAATTTTAACAATATATCTACTAATAATATAATTTTAGCTCTTGCGAATCTTCTTGAGAACAAACTCTTAGCTGCTAAAACACACTTTAGCAAGAGTAAAAGAATGTATCTTGAAGTAGTATTTAGAGAAGAATCACAACAGCAATTCTATGCTACAGAAAGCCTAAATATCTTTAAGCAAACTATCTTTGGCTATATTCTAATCAACCTCAAATATAGCTTCCTCTCAGTTAAACTGAAAAACACCCACTCGGAGATATGAACCAAACTAGCTACCTAATCAAAGAAGCATTTATTGACTTCAGCACTATCACTTCTATCAAGCCTCTATTTTTTGAAGGGACTACAGTCTGTTCAAACCAGTGGATCATCACTTTTGAAATCACAGAAGATGCAGACTTAGCTAAAAAACTCTCAAGAACTACATATGTAGAAGACTACAAAGTCACTACAGAATGGAGGGAAGCCTCCAAAATCTGTTACTACTGTGAGAAAGAAGGGCATGTTAAAAAGGACTGCCAAGATCTCAAAAAAGTAATTGCACTTCGCAACCACTACAAAGAATTAAAGCAGGCAAAAAAATTGAGCAATGAGACTTCAGAATCTCAGATCAGCTCCAATCCAAACAACCCTTATACTCAAGAAGACAAAGCACCTGAACCTCACTCTCTAACAACTACTCCAAAGGAGCCAACAGACAACACAACCTCTTCAGGCTCCTCTTCAATTGCAAAAACTAATAACAACACTACAACAAAATCTGATTCAGACTCAGATACAATAGATCTGAACTGCAAAACTCAAACTCCAGAAAAAAAGTTGACTCTAGCAATTTCTAAAAGTAAAACAGGGAGCAAGAGATCTTCTCACTCAAGAGAAGAGACTACTACACAGGATACAAGGATGCCTCCTTCAGAAGCAACCTTACACTAAGAGGTTTCAACTCTTATTACAAACCCACTCTTCTATCATAATGTCTATGAAACACATCAAAATAGCAACTCTAAACGTAAAAGGCCTTAATAACAAGGTTAAAGCCTACCAAACTTTAATTTTACTAAAATCATACAACCTAGATATAATCGCAATTCAAGAAACTAACTTAAACGATCCTAACACCAGAAACTTCTTAGCTCAACAATAGGGCTTTGACTCTTTTTAGACTTCTAAAACTGCAATATTAGCTGAAAAAAAATATATCAAGATCAAAGAATCAGAATCAATTCTTGAAGATCGAATAATTCTTGCCAAAATTTCAATTAACAATCTCAACTTTTCACTTACAAACGTCTATGCTCCTCCTAATCTGAGAGACAGACAAATATTTTTCTCAAACTAGGTACCTCAAATTGATGAAAGCTTTATAAATATACTTGTTGGAGACTTCAACATGAATTTAAATCCCCAAAAAGATAGAATAAGTCAAGCACTAGCTCAAAACGACTCCACAAAAGCTTTGTTACAAAACTTAACAACTGAATTTACTGATTCAGTGAACAACTTTGAGAATGAACTATTTATTACCTTTTATCAAAACACACAGGGTAGTCAATGAATGGCAACTCGACTAGACTATATCTTTATTGATGCAAACTTCAGCTACTTAGAAAGAAAAACTCAAACAAGATTTGGTAACTCAGACCACCTTCTCGTAGAATGTACAATTTAGTATCAATCTACATTAACTCAAGCTGCAATTTGGAGGCTTGATCCAAAGAAATTACTTGACCCTGAAATTAGAAACGAAATTACAAAGAATCTTCAAAGCTGTAATGATATTAGCAAATGGGATTTTCACAAATGCATAATGCAGTTAATAATTCGATTAGCAAAATCTAAACAGCTCCCAAAAAGAAAAATCCAAATCTTACAGAATAGGTTATCTAAGTTGAACAATAGGATAGCAAATGACCCTAGGCTCACAAACCTAAAAACTTCATCTGAAGAAATTAAAGACCAAATTTAAGAAGAGCTACAACTTCTCTCTGAGAAATGGCAAACTAGATCAAACACCAAATGGATTGAAGAAAGGGAAAAATCAACTAAATACTTTTTCTCTCGATACAAAGTTAGGTACTCCTCTTCATGTAGTACCAAAGTCAAAAACCCTGATAATCCCACCTCTGACTCTCAATCAGAAATTCTAGAATACATTAAAAACTTCTACAAATCTCTGTACAAAGCTGAATCTATCGATACTGAAGCAGCAGAAGAGTTACTCAAAAATGCTCCTCTTATCTCACAAGACCAGAATGTTATGCTAATTAAACCTATCATGAAAGAAGAAATTAGTAACACTATTGATAATCTTCCAAACAACAAATCTCCTGGACCAGATGGGCTTACCTATGAATTTTACAAGTCTCTAAAAGACCTTTTACTTCCTTTACTCTTTAAGCTTTTTAACAATGTCTTAATCACAGGACAAATACCTCTCTCATGGAGCAAAAACATAATTACTCTTATCCCTAAGAAGTCAAGTGACCTAGAAAATATTAGCAACTGGAGGCCTATTTTACTTGTTAATAGTGATGCTAAAATCTTTATGAAAATCTTTGCTAACAGACTAAACTCTGTCTGCAGCAACATAATTTCTCCTTGTCAACAAGTCTTCGTTACTGGCAGATTTATTACTGATACAGCTTTAGATATTCTTACTACTCTAAGAAACCAATCTGATCAAACCAAACAAAATTGGTTACTCTTCCTTGACCAGCAAAAGGCCTTCGACAGAGTTAGCCATCAATTTATGAAAACTGTTCTAAACAAAATGAACTTTGATCTCAAGTTCAGCAAGATTATTGACTCTCTCTTTAGT